GGGAGGTAGAAGATACAGAGTGCAAAGCCCTAACAGTGACGATCCAAGGATCACATTCCTGGCTGTGCGCACAACTCCATGCTTTTTTATAGGACTATGCCGCCGAATTCCTGTTAGTTTTTAGTGCTGTATCCGTAACCCGCCCGGCACATTCCTTATCTCACCCATAACTGTTTCTCACATGATTTCAGTCTACATGACCGTCGCGTCTGTGTGCTGGGACTTTGCACTCTCCTCTCTCTCCGTGATGAAGAACGACCCCCAGCTGTGAACAAACTCAGCACCCAATACCTCCCCGCCCTCCTGCTTCTCCTGAACGGTCTGAAAGACGCCTATGTCCTCAAGGCTCAGGAGGAAAATGAAGGTGATTCTATGATAGATGTCTTCCAAGGCCTTCCACTTTGCATTATTTGAATATCCTGTTTTGTTTTTTCACATGTCCCACTTTGGACTGAATCTTATAGCGGAGCCTACAGCGAACTTTTTTGAATGCCGAAAATCGCTATAGTTTCGGCCGGTTTCTCCAAGTCTAAAGCATGTGGTAGACTGCATGAGTCCGAGTTACCACTGGCGTTTTTATTGAGTCGTACCACAAGCTTCAGGCAGCCAGCTTGATACATAAATCGTGTTGTAGGTTTATGTGAATATTCTGGAATGGCTGGGTCAAGCTACAATGCTCTGTCTGAATGTGTTCACTAAAAATTAGGCCTGAATAGGCCGGAAACGTAGCTTTGACTAAGTCGTGTGTGCTGCGCATAGTGCATCCGCGTCCACCTCAAGTCATCTTGTAGAAAACTTGTCAAAATTTTAGCACACTTCAACAGTCTACAGGATGTATCTACCCCGATTCTCATCGGCAGACCCGGCATGAGTTCGCGGACAGCCCAAATTATCGCTCACTACCTCATCGGCAGTAACACGTCCGGCTTCGCACTATTCCACGAAATGCTATATTGCAGGTGTCAGCTATTACTCGTTAACCGTCCCTTCAGAAGACCGGTAGCCGTCGCAGGTCTTACATAGTCCATCTGGGGCGCTTTCAGTTGTGCACTACCAGGCGAATAGTTATAATAATATCCAGGATTCGTAAGGATTAAATCATGCATGTAAACGTCTGAGCGTGCTGCTTGGAAGGCGTATGCGCCAGTTTAGTTTTGTCCAGAACTCTGAGAGGGTTAAGCCTCCACACCTAGCCACTCGTATGAAACGGTCGAGCCTTACCCCTGTCAATGTCCCAGTAGGTTTTAATCGAGGTTTGCAAGCAGCAATGACTTCAGATTGTGTCTCACCCCGGGCCTGCCCAATCAAGATGGTGTCGTTCACAAGCTAGAGATTCGCGGAAGGAAGGTTTTGCACGCTTTCATAGACGACTATGCCACAGTTGTGTACCAATGAAAAGTACAAGTATGCTTTTTTTTTTTATCTAACTGTACTTTGCAACCGTAATGGTTCTGCGCGTAATTCGTTCCTCCAATCCTCCTTGCGAGGTTTTAGGCGGCTGTGGGGGCTCGAAGCGCCTCATGGACGCCGAGGTCGGGTATATATAAGTAACTATGAAAGTCGTAGTAAATAGTAATGGGAGTCTTTTTGGCTGACTGTCTGGG